AAATTATTTATTGCATTTTGAGACTCACCTTGATGTTTCTTTATTTTCTTCTCAGCTCTATAATGTATTCCCTAAGTTAGTCAGTCTCTTCCCCGGTAAACACCATCAGCTGTTTAAAGACCTAGAAGAGGCCAGAGAGTACTTCAAGAGTGAGGCACAAGCTCGGATGAATAATGTGGATCCCTATTGCCCACAGGACTTCATTGAGGCCTTTGTGTTAAAAATGAAAGAGGTAAATCATTGAAAGAAATGGTAATTTAAACATATTTCGCCATGGTCCTGAAGACATTTACTTGCACCATCTGGTGGTGAGACCATGACATGATGTCAATTAAACCCAATGTTAACTTTCAGACCTGTTCTCTTTTGCAGGAGAAAGACAAGCCTGACACAGAATATCATTTTGACAACTTGGTTTCTTCAGCATGGAACTTGTTCAGCGCCGGCACAGAAACCACTTCATCCACCCTCAGACACTCTTTACTTCTAATGATGAAGCACCCAGATGTTCAAGGTGAGGTCAAACTAATGCGTCTCTCTCCAAGCATTAAGTGTTTCAAGTTTACTTTCACTTCTTCTGTACAGAGCGTGTTCAGAGAGAAATCAATGAGGTTGTAGGACAGGACCGTTGGCCCTCCATTGAAGACAGACGGAGGCTGCCATATACAGATGCTGTAATTCACGATGTCCAGCGCAGCATGGATCTCGCCCCCATCGCTGTCCCACACAAGACCATGTGCGACACTGAATACAATGGCTATGTCATTCCTAAGGTATTCTTCTCTCATACATCATCTTGATTCATTAAATGTGCTTATTATTAACATCTTTCTATTTATTTGTAAAATACTTTCTTGAAGGGAACAATGGTTTTTCCACTACTATCCTCCGTGCTTATAGACCCCAAACTGTGGAAGAACCCAAATTGTTTCGATCCAGAAAACTTCCTGGATGGAGATGGCCGATTCAAGAAGAATGATGCATTTGTTGTATTCGGCATGGGTGAGCTCAGATCTTCATTGTGCATATTAAACCATAAAAATGTTGCTCTTAGATGAAAACTGAAGTCAACACATGCTAAATAATTGTTTATCAGTGTTTTAGTCATTCTGGGACAAACAATAACCATGTTAAATAATTGATTCCTCAGTAGTTGCCTTTATGTATCATCCATTTTTGTCTGATTTGTTCTTTAGAGAACATTTTTTAAACCAACTTCTGTGTGCTCTCTTGACAGGCAAGCGCGTGTGTCTCGGTGAGGCTCTGGCTCGCACAGAACTCTTCCTCTTCTTCACTTCCCTCCTTCAACACTTCACCTTCAAAGCCATGGTGCCACCAGAGGAGCTCGACACAACGCCTACAAATTGCAGTTTTGGCCGCATGCCCCGTACATACGAGTGCTATGCCATTCCTAGGATCTAGAGGAACAGTCCACAAAATAACAAAGAAAGCATTCAACATACTCTCATTTTATTTTGATGCTTTAATGGAAATAAATATGTCCAAAATGATATTATTGCACAAGTGTTTTTTTTTTTTTTGGCAAATACAAAATTGATATGTTCATGTCCTCAAGGAGACGTTACCCACTTTCTGCAGTGTACATTCTGATGAATTAAAGCCTCCAATACCTGATATGTTTTTATTTTTTTTACACAGAAGCTTATGTCTGTGGAATGTTTTGAGGACATGAGCAACAATTTTTTTTACAGGTCAAACAATATTATTGGCACTTTAACAAATAATGCAGTTTAACATCTGAGTTGGCACAGTCTGAGTCCATTATTTTATTTTTTTTCTACACCTGGGGGCTTTTAACACAGAACATGTTTTTGTGTTCAAACTGGTACACTGTGACTTTTAATTATGAGTCAATACATCATCAATCCTTCATCTACAGTGTTTTTGTCTCACCCTAATTCACTATGGTAAACCTATTAGGCTAGGCCTACTTGTTTATATTTTAGACCCAGCGGGATGTTTTTTGCGGGAAATTGCGTAGCCTACATACCTATGTCACTTGCCCATGCATGTCTCTCATATCCGTAAATAGAGCAAAGTTGCTCGACTACTTTAATGGGTGTATGATGTGGGCGTGGTATAGGTTAATTGTCACAACGAGCAAGAAAGCTAAGGCCACATTTACACATAGCCGGGTATTTAGAGAAACGAATATTTTCCACCCTCCGTTTTCAATAATAACATCGCGCACACAACATCGTTTTCAAAAAAGTTGTCATTTACATCAACCCGGACAAATACTCCGTCGACCGCCATCATAACTATAGATATACATAATAAAGGCCTTTATTATGTAGATCTATGATGCCAAACTGGGCGCTCACATGACGCAAAAAGAGAACACAACAGAGCTCGTAATAAAATGAGAATCAACATCAGCTTGGCTTTTAGGAAATGGCGAGAACCGAGGGATTTGGGATGTTGTAAAAAAAGATGGGGGAAATGGCGTTTTTATTACTCAGCAGGTGTGTAAGGTAGGCCTATTTTATTGAACAGATAACTTGCCATATGTAGTTCTCTAACAGAGTTCATTAAAGCATTATTGTACAGGGTCATTTCATTATGGTTGTTGTAAGGCTGGGTAAGAATTTATTTTCAAGTAGACCATGTTTAATTGGAACAGTAACATCTCCAGCTAGTCAGCTTAAGATCCTTTCCATCTAAACTGGTTATATCTCTTAAACCCAGAAGTGTATGTTTTATGAGCAGTAGGCCTAGTCAGAGAGGAACCAAAACAATATTCTTTTGTAAAATTAATGCAGTTTTGTTTTTTAAACCCCCAGAGGGCCAAGTTTTAAAAACTCATTTTTTTAAATATTGAAAACTAATACAAATATTTTCTAATATTTGTATTATTTTATACAAAATATTAAAGTTATATTAATACATATTATTGAAGTAGCCTAATATTATTGAAACAAAATACAGTACAGGTGAGGAATACCAAGAGTTAAAAGCTGTAGGCTACTTTTTGACTTGAGCGCCGTGTTTTTAGAACGCCGTGTCATGCACAAGACAAAAGCGCAGCGCAAGTTAAAATAAGTTTACCAGAGATGGTCTTTATCGTTTTAACTTTTTTTTTCATTCCAGTGCCTTGCATCTCGCGTTTTTAAGCGTAAAATAAAAACTGTTCTGTGTTAACGGCCACAGTTATTCTGCAATCTATGATTGGACAAAAATAACTATTAACGGTTTTAACTAGGCTATTAACTATTTACAGTGGCTTCATCAGAACTAGACAAACTGTACCCGAGACTACAACAAAGACATATTATATTTTGACAAATTCATGCCTGACCACAAACTCTTTGCACTCGGTTAATGTCATTCAGCACTGACAGGATGGTAAGAAATTTCCCCAGGGGACGAACGCAACTCTACAACACATCTGTGCAGTTCTCTCTACGTCCACTAGGTGGCTTTAGATGACAATGGATCCGGGGAATAACCTCAATGTGAAAGCGACAGAACAACGGCCTCCGCTTGATGCATGAAATTTAGAAATATAATAAATTGCCTAAATCACAGTGAAAGCTCAGATAGTCTACAGCATACGTAGATATCACTATTATTATTGAACTCTTCCATTCATAGTAACATAAAAAGAATGTGTCCAGTGAAGTGAAAGAGTATAGACTACTTAATGTAATATAGATCTTAGTAGCCTACGTTGTGAGTGGTTCAAAAAAAGAGGGGATACACTGATTTATGCCTTCATAAAGTTTTAGAAACAATCTGTTTCCATGTTTGATAGTGTTGTTACTGTTACCTAATAACTAAATTACCCTCTAATCCTTTTAGACATACAGTTCACAGTTGGTTTCTGTCATGGCACTGAATGAAAAGGGATTAAGCCATCGAGTGGAATGCAGAAACATAATAAAGGAATTAGATTTCCTGCTGTTTAAGAGAGTGCCTAGACCGCACCATTCTGGTTGAGCGGGTTACACAAGACTAGAGCCATATAAAACCTCCATGTTAGACATTTAATGCCTCCAGTCCAGAGGCACTTATCATATCAGGGTGAGGATGTGCTTTAGACATAATGCTAGTGCTAATTTGCTGTTTATGGACATTTTATAAGTTTTATTAACTTTATTATTGGTCCTTATTCTGTATGTATATAGTCTCCCCCAAAAGTATTTAACCTGCACATAAAATTGACTGCATTAGATAACAAACATCAAACCAGGGCCTATATTTACGTGATCAAAAAAACAAACAAACAGTAAAAACAGTAATATTGGGAAACATTGTTACAACAAAAAAATATATTTTAGTATATATTAAGATGCAATTTATTCCTGATGCAAAGCAGAATTTTCAGCATTATTACTCTAGTCTTTAGTGTCACATGATCCTTCAAAAATCATTCTATTACTGATTTGTTGTTGCAACTCAAAAGGTCTTATTATCAATGTTGAAAACAGTTGTGCCACTTAATATTTTTGTTGAAACTGTGATACGTGTTTTTAAGGATTCTATGATAAGAGCATTTCATTGAAATAGAAATATTTTGTAACAATGTAAAATTATTTGCTGAAACTTTTGATCAATAAAGGCATCCTTGCTAAATAAAAGTGAACGAATTTCTTTCTTTACATTTTTGTTTTGTTTGAGTGGATGTGTGGCTTAAGGGTCCAAATACTTTTTGGGGTGACTATATTGATGGTTATTTTGGTGATTTCACAGGCTAGGCGATGTTTGTGTGCCTAACCATTTAACTCTCAACAGATAATCCTCATTCAATCAAAAATATGACTTTGTGGCAACGAGATCCACGGTGTTGCCGCATAACAGAATTCATCTTGTGTCCAAATTGAGGTATAGTGGTAAATATCAAATGAGAAAAACAAAAACAAAAACAGGTCTGTCTGGTGTAATGTGAGAAATTTGATGTAGGAATATCCTTTTTATAGTTCAAAAACAATGAGATCTCTTATTCCAAGACACTCTGTGATATCCAGCATTGTATGGCCAGCACAGTCCACATCATTCAGCAGTAGCTCTCGGAAAACATGGTTTCGCCCTCTGCGGCACACTGGGGTAACGCTGGCACATCCAACCCGTTCAGAACCTGTTTTCGGGCAGAGATGTAGCAGTACGCCTTGTCTTTCTTTGCTCCAGGATGGTAGTGTTGTTGAAGGTGGGCGTCTGTTGGTGTTGGGTCTGAGCACAGTTGGCAGCCACTGTCCAGAGGGCACTCTGGAGAGCAGGTTGGGTCATGGTGGCACAGAGGACTGGCACCTCCCTGCTGTGTGTTGCTACCTGTATTACGCTGGTCATCCAAAATGCTTATTCCCAATCTCCATCGCTGCCATTTCTTTTTGATTTCTGACTGTACCTGAAATCACAGACATGATAGGTAAAATAGCAGTTATGTGAATATATATGGCCTAGGATAGCAGGGTTATTATCATATATATATATATATATATATATATATTTTAATTAAATTTAAAACATTAACTTAAATAAAAATGATAAAATTAGATATAAAAAAACTTATTTTATTTCAGCTATTTAAGCATTCATAATTTTCATTTAGCTGAAGTACTAAAATACATTTTCTAAAATTAAAACGTTATAGACATAGAACAATAAAAAACAATTAATAAAAATGGCAAAAAACAACAAAATTACTCAAACGTAAAAATTAAATTGAAAACAGAATATATCAAATTAAATCTAATTCAAAATATTAACAAACTATAATAGCATCAATGATAATAAAACACCACTAATTATATAGTTTTTTATTTTATTTAAATACATTATAGACTATACATAAAAAATATTACACTATACAGTATAGCAAAAATATATACCTCTTTATTGACAAAGCAGTATAGTATGGCCACCAGAAAACCCTGTAGGGCAACAGCAACAAATGTGTCAAAATGCATTAACTGTAAGGATATACACTACATTAGAATAGTGCATGGAAAACAAAAAAGCAAGTACACTTGATGATCTAGGCCATGTTGTGACACGGTCTGTCTCGCTTGATCCCCTTAGTTGTACCTGAAAGGAATTGAAGAAGAGTTCAAAGAACAGGTTGACATTGCGAAGTACGCCCTCAGTCTGTTCTTCTGTCATCACAGCAAACACCACCTCATGAATCCCTAACAGGGGAATGAGGGTCAGTGTCGACTTGGCCAACCTGAGGAACCAAGAATATTAGACGCAGATTATTCAAAACACAATCCGACCCATCTCGCTTCAAAATGCCATCAACTTTTCTTTCTTTTTTTGTGATCTCATTGTTTCAGATTTAAAAAAAATCAAATCCTTTTAGGTTTTATAAATGTTTGAAGAGAGATTTCATAGGCAGATAAATTGTCAATAGTGAGGCACTGTGGGTAAATCAAAAATCGAATTAGCTTCCATCATTATTACCAATACTACATGTGCTTGTTATATTTCAATACACGTTTTATTCCACTATGGATAAGCAGGATTTAGTCTTAAAGGCTAGAAATATATTCTCTGGTGGGAAAAGAATAGCTCCCTAAAATATACGCTGTCCGCAAGGCTGACATTTGAAGAAGAGGATGAAACATTTTCTTCAACATGGTTGAAACATCAAAAGCTTGCTTAGGCACTTTATGTGACACAGTTCCAGTTTACATAACATGGATGAAATCAGAAATACCGGCTACAAGGAAAAACCGACAGATCAGGTTGTTTTAAATAGCAAATTTTACAACAAGCAAAAAAACAACAACAGACTAACAGATACTGATGAACATGAATTAATTTGTTGAAAATAATAAATAAATAAATAAATAAAAACACTTCATTATTAAATTAATTTAAAATAACAAGACAAATTCTTACCTAAATTTATAATCTGTATATCTCATCTGATGTGCTTTTAATTTGGAGATGAGGATCTGAATAATCCTTATAAATATGAAAAAGTTCACCTGCAAAATATGATTATTTATATATAAATAATTACATGTGGAATGCTCAATGTAAAGGCACACAAAACTTCTCATTCTGGAGAATGCAGAACACTGCATAAATTATCCCATGCAACTGAGTGTGACGGATCCGTTCAAACCAAGCCACAATAATTTCGGAGTGCAGAAAAACATTTCCTCAACACAATCTCAAGAGTGCTCAAGACTAATGAGTCATCCATGTATAATGCAAGAGTGACTGGTTATTTAACTGGTTATGGTGAGTTCCAGGGTAGTGTTGCACCAGCCATTCGTAAATTCGTTCTTAAATTAGAATGTAAAGTCACTAGAGGCTTAACTAGCTAGTTTGTAACCAACTCTGTACTCTATTTGGTTGCACCATTTGTTTATAAGGCAGAATAGCTAATAGTTTGTAAGCTCTCCATAAAGTAATGCGTAGTCACATAATGTGACATTTACCCTCAAAGATCCAATAGCAGCCTTCAAATACATAACTTGTGAATAACATCAAGAATAACATGTATTTTTTTTAAATATGTAAATAACATTCAGAAACTGTATTTGAAATTTGAAAATTACATTCATGACATTATATTATTTTAAATGCACAACATGGGCCGATGCTTATAGAGGAGTGCATTAGGATGGGTTCTTGTTGAAGAGCCTCTAACAAAGTAATCTGCACATAATGTTCTCTCTTAAATGTAAGTAAGTGTAAATGTCAGCATTATCATACAGTATATGTCTAAAGACTTGAAGTCCGTCGGGTAAAACAAAAGCTTTTTTGATGCAGTTCAGTCAGTCTGCTATTTTATTCTAACCCTTACTCCCGATGGGAGACTTCCGTAAATATTTAGTTAATACGTAGAGTTATGCTTTAAGTTTAATGGTGCAACACAAAAATATTTAGGTAATAAGTGCGCAAGTTGTAACAGTGACCATTTATGTCAAGTTGTATGCTACAACTTAGCATAGCTGGTGCAACCGTCCCCGGATGACTCAGAACTTGGAATTCTCTCACCTCCCACTCACAAATAACCACTGGAACATAGGTCAGAAATCCAACTAGTAAAGACGCAGCAGATCTTTCAGCCCTGACTATGATGAGAAGCACCATTTGTTGTCATTTCCAAGATGGTAGAAACTAACGCAATGTTCCATTGGTTGAAAATGTCAAGTTCTGAGTTATCTGGAACACAGGTTGGAATTGGGAAATTTCAGTAGAAATAAAAGATCTGTAAGCACATTGTGGCGAGCAGGACAAGGTCGAGGAACGTGGGAGGACGGTGCGAGGCCGGTGGCGTGATTAATGATGAACGACACCTGTGAGACGCACGGGTCTCGTATCTCTCACGTCCCTCGACCTCGTCCTGCTGTGAATGACTATAAAAACAATCAGAGAACAGATTCAAATTTTAGACAAAATGAGATAAATACAGAGGAAAACTCACTAAAATTGCCAAAAGGATTGGCGTTCGGATGATCCACCAATATGCCATATTTTCGTTGATCTCCCAGCACCTTGAGAAATGTGTAGGGAGATTTGTAATGCTTAACCAAAGTTGCTCTTAATCTTTAACCAAATGAAAGAAGGCTGTTGCATCAAGACTTCTGGCCCATCTTACCTAGTGTTCTCATACAAGTAACGAACAACTATCCAAGGCACCACAAAGAGCACAGGCGTTCCTGTCAGAAAACAAGCAAGACACATGCCTCACATTTGTGCATCCACATTAGCATTTCATTTATACTTTCTTTAAAAAAAAATAATTGTGGTAATTGTTCAAACTCATTCAATGTATGGAAATATATGCATTTAAATTAAATCTTTTTTATTTAATTTTTTATACTATATTTAATGGTTTTTATACATTTATTAAATGAAGTATTACACTTATTTTCATGACAATTGTTCTACAAAAAAAGTAGAATGAGTTTGTTACACACCCCAGCCGATGAAGAGGTACACACAGAAGTAACTGTTCTCTGAGAAGACCATCAGCACCAGCAGGTTGTGAAGATATAGACCTTCTACCAGTAGCCAATAGTAGTTGGCCCCAACACAATACTGCATCAGGACCTGAGCCACACGGCAGCCTGACATCACCTGTGGGAGTTTAATGTGGGTTTACTGTACCAAACAATGTACTTGAATAGTTTTGGAGCAGGAGCGTTTCCTCAGAGGCAAAATTGGATGAAAATAAATCCACAGCAAATTTTACAAAATATGAAATTAAAAAGTGTATAAATCCCATATTTTTCTAAAAATGACATTGTCCAACAGTGACACCAGCGGTTAAAGTTACAGCGAGATGCAACGTCTTTCTTGATTCCCCTCAGCTCAATGACTTTTAACAGACCCCCCTAAAGTGTGTCATGGGTTTGGTGAGTTTAACGGAGAACGAATGGGGAAAAAGTCATGTGAGAGGAGACAATGCTTCCATTGTGCTTTGATTGGCCTATCACCATGTTCATACTATACAATCTGGATTCATAAATAGGTCTAGACAATTAAATAATGGTTAATGGGAAGACTAATTAAAAAGTAATACAACCCTAATGCACAGATATCTCGCTTTACAACACATCAAAAACAAACTTGAAACTGACTTGAAAACATGATCTTTCATTTTTAGAGAGCAATCAGCTTGGTGGAAACCCTTGGTAGGCTACATCTCTGACTGTGACCAGTGTTTACTGATCTTTGATGAGCAGTATTTTGATGACTGATGATACGATAATAAGTTTATTAAAAGACTATTAAAAAAGCATCAGTTGACAAATAAAATAGACATGAAATCTGAAATAAATAGTTTTTATTTTTTGTGATAAATTTAAAGATGCTTAAAAAACACTAACTTAATTAGATTTATACGTTTAATAAATAGAACATTAATTACAATGTTAATATAAAAATACAAAATAGAATTGTATAAGCAATGTTTATTTACACTGCAAAACATTAAAGCTGCAGTCGGCAAGTCTGGCAGATTGAGTGGACTTAGGCAAAATTTTGAATGTTTACAACTCTCATGCCCATCCCCCACTATCAACGGATACCCTCTGTTGATAGTTCGAGTTCGTGTTCGTGCTCGTCAGTGCGTGTGCACCAGGTTATCTGTGAACGCGCCCGTCTCATTAGCATTCATCAACACCATGGAGTATTTGGAGGTATGCTGCCCTGGCTAATCTACCGATAGATTGCAATTGCTAACGTCATTTATACTCTAAATGAGCTTATTGATTTGTTAGTGTTTTGAAAGCGAGATACACCCGCCATCACTCTTCGTTACTGCGCGAACTTCCGGCGTGTGCATGTCATTGTAACGTGCGCGAGGGGTGGCTTGTGCCCGATCTGTGATTGACAGTCAGATCTCACAACCCCCTGCGCTGATTGGACCTGATGATCCGGGAGCTGTGGATTTTTGCAAAACAAATAACACGCTCCAGGAGGAGTTAGAAGCTCGGGTTTTTTTCTAAAACCACTTTATTTATATTGTTCTGTCGGATTATAGTGTCGATTTCACTGAATATGATTAGAAAAATGTTGCCGACGGCAGCTTTAAGTGTAACTGTAACATGAATTTGCATTTGATTAACAAAATACTGAGGACTTTGCCTCCTTACAGAACAGCAACTGTTTTGCAGCGTGTAATTACTGTAATGTAATTGAGTCAGTACTGTATTTCTGCTTACCTCGTCACTCAGCACGATTGAAACATCTTTGTTGTCCCTGAACTCTGGAGCGTCTTTCATGAGAAGCGCGTCTCTCGTGAGGATGGACACAGCTCGCAGGATAAATGAGGCAAACAGGTTGGTGTGGATGTAATTACGTGTGCAACGCAGCTTCCTGCAATATTACACACAAAATACATTATGGCTTTTCAAACTTGAAATACTTAACCCTGGGTCAATCTAAACCCTGGGTGAACAAATCTTGCTTCACTTTTCAGACTGCTCATAACTTAACAATTAATCCTAGGTACTCATAAACTGATGTTTCACACTGTAAATTCCTGAACCCTGGATTAACATTCTTATTTGGAGCAGTGTCATTGATTGGGCGAACAGCACGCGGCATGGTTACATTAAGGCTCTTGCTTTTTTGTCTTTTTATTGCAGGATGATGAATTAGGCCAACAGCTTTATATTGTTTGTTTTTCTTCTTCTGCATGCCATGTTCTGCTCACTTTTCTGGAGGAAAGCGGTCACTCGCCTGAATATGAGAAGTATGACGAGGGCTAAAGACAGGCTGGCCAGGGACAGAGAGTAACCAACTGTGTACATCACCCTGAAATAGGCCAAGATCATCATCTGATTCTCCTGTGAACAGAGCGAGAGAAAGAATAGCACTATACAGACATGAGCAAATTTAATTCATGTGACTACTCTGAAAGAAAAACCTTCTCAAATGTCTTGTGTGGGACATGAAGGCAAAGCTTCAGAGCAATTCAGACATTTTTCTAACTCTGCCATACTGACAACCACTGAAAGCTGCCTTAGGCAGAGTGTAATGACATCTTTATATTCACGAATCACACTAGCGAGTAATAGCCAATAACTCTGCAAAATAACTCTGCGAGCAGGAGATAAAGTCTCCTTTGCCAAAAAGAAATGAGAGCAGAGCTCTGCAAATGACACTAGTGGGATTGCTTTCCAAGTGCTTTGGTTCTTGAAATTACAGAACCGCATAAAAATTCACACAGCCAGTTTCATATTTTACATAAATTCTCCATACACCACAAATCAAACTGGTTTCTTTCACTGAGACTTTTTCCAGTCGTTTTGAACAACAACATGTACATGTGATCCATGAAAATAAAGATGTCATTACTCTCTGCCTGAGAAAGCTTTCAATGGCTGTCAGCATGGCGGAATTTAAGAATTGACTCCCTTCAATTCATGAATTGGAATTTTAATGAACTGGTACCACAGGAAGTTAAATTGGAATTTGAACTTGTATGACAGTAAGTGGAATTTACTGAATTGCAACTCGCATGATTCAACTAAGCCACAAAACTAATTTAATTGGTCCAGGATCATTTAAATAATTACATGATTCATTTGACAAATTACTCATTTATTTCCTGATCTGCAGATATTTTTCTTAAACCAAGTTCAACAAAATGTACTGAATAATATAAAGCATAGGAAGCCATATACTTATATATTTGAAGATTTTAATCATCTCACCCATAGGGCATATCCATTCAAAAGTTTGGGGTCAGAATTGTTTTTGAAAAAAAATTTGTTTTCAACAAAAACATGTATTCAGCAAGGATGCATTAAATTGATTTAAAAGTAATAAAGTTTTTTATTTCAAATAAATGCCTTTGAATTTTCTATTCATAAAAGAATCCTGAAAAATGATCAATGAGAAATCACTGTGAAGACTGGAGTAAATTGATAAAGACTGGAAAATTCAGCTTTGCCATTACAGGAATAAATGACATTTTAAAATATGAAAACAGTTATTTTAATTTTTCTTAAATTATATTTAACAATATTATTGTTTTTTTATCAAATAAATGCAGCCTTGGTGAGCAGAAGAAAAGAAAAAATCTTACGAAAACATTACATAGAAGGAAAATGCAATCTGCTAAAAACTTCAGGACCACTGACAAACCATATACAGTTGTGGTCAGAATTAATGGCACCCGTTAAATATGATTAAAAATGGCTGTAAAAAATAAATCTGCATTGTTTATCCTTTTGATCTTTCATTCAAAAAAATTGCAAAAATCTAACCTTTCATTGGGGGAAAATCACATTATAAAATAAATATTTTTCTCCAAAACACGTGGCCACAATTATTGGCACCCCTAGATTTTCTTTTTGAGTAAAATATCTCTGAAGTATATTCCCATTAATATTTACCTTTTTTATAGTGACTAGGAACATGAAATTATCTACTTCTTGTTTCACAGGAGTTTAAATATGAGGAAACGCAAAGGCCAAATTCCCTTAATCATCCATCACAATGAGTAAAACCAATGAATATAGTTCTGATGTGCATCAAAAGATTGTTGAGCATCACAAAATAGAAAGTGGCTGTAAGAAAATAGCTAAAGAATTGAAAATCCCCATTTTGACCATCAGGGCAATATTAAGAAGTTCTAATCAACTAAAGATGTTACGAATCTGCCAGGAACAGGACGTGTGTCTATATTGTCTTAAAGGGTCATGAAACCCTAAACCAAATTTTCTGAGATTTTATCAGAGGTATGTGTGTTGAACACCATTGAAGACAATGTTAGCACCTGTTAGATTTAATAGTAGGGTGAAAATGGTGAAATTTTAGTTTCTTTCCGCTATTTTCGTCTTCCGGGTTTAAAATCTTCATCGCAGGCTGTGACGTGGCATAGCACAGTATAGTGCGTTGATGACTCATCGGTGTCTCACAATTATTAATGAGACTGAGTTTTCATATCCTATGAGAAGACACTGTCTCTTAATTATTCATGACACCACTGGATCTTTCCAGTGACAGACATGTCAAACTGTGATATCGCATAGTATATGAGAGAGGCAATCATGGGACTCACGCAAGTGTTTGTTTTCGTGGTGCAAAAGTCCAATTGGGTTGAATATGTTTCCCCGCGATGCTGCCTGGGCTAGACTCTGGCTCTGGGCGGTTGGTTTTCCATCAACCACGGACACATCTAAACGTGTGTGCCGCAAACATTTTTGAGCTTCGAGAATTGGAGAATGGTGGACTTCGCCTTGTTGACAACCAATGCAGGTTGCGTCTTCCGAGTGATGCGGCACCAAGTCCCGAGGACTTTTCTATCCCTTCAGAGGTGTGTGTGTGTGTGTGTGTCTAAAATGAGAAGTCATCCCCCTCCACAGAGCCATCTTTATTATGGGGGTTCAGGGGGCGCGTAGATCTAGGCTATGCACGGAACGTTTTTTTAAAGCGGAAAATTAAGAATTTTCAAATATATATGTATAGAGTCTATAAACAACTATATATTTTATAATGACATTATAATTATACATGTAGCCTACATTAATATGTTCTCAATAGAATTACGATTACTGTAGGCTTACTAGGCTAATATAGCAGGGCATTCAGTTACTTTTGAAAGGACAATAATAAAGTGTCGTATTTCATAAGACTTTAACTTTGCCAGCTATAAAAAAAAATCTAGCATTTCCTCACGTTTTACCACTGCTTTTAGTGACAGTCGATATGCATGGGATACTGGCGATGACAGTGATGGCCTTACCACACCCCTTCTCACAGCCATCCACGCCCATTTAAGTTGCATTTTTCAAAAAGATTGTGAGCTAGACTTGAGCTGAAAGAGGGGGGTTTCATGACCCTTTAATGCATAGTGAGGAGGAGAGTTTGAGTGGCCAAAGACTCTCCAAGGATCACAGATGGAGAATTGCAGAGATTACTTGAGTCTTGGGGGTCAGAAAGCCTAAAAAGATATATCAAACAACCCCTACATCACCACATGTTGTTTGGGAGTGTGTCAAGAAAAATCCTCCTCGCTCCTTCAAAAAATAAACCCCAGCCTATTCAGTTGTCAGACACGAATGGAACTTCAAAAGGGACCGGATTCTATGGTCAGATGAAACAAAAAAAGGGCTTTTTGGCAGCAAACCTACCAGATGTATTTGGTGCAAACACGGATAAAAAGTACCCCATGCCTACGGTTAAATATACTGCTGGATCTTATTAGGATGCCAGCCGAACTTAGCCCCACCCACAACATTTGAGGATGGGAAGTGACTTGATCCGTTGTGAAGCAAGTATGCCCAAACCAAAGCTGTTCGGACAAATCAAATTGTCAGGGCGGGCTTTATACGATGATGGACAGATGATCAACCATAACGTAATCATCCACGTCACCAAGGAGCGCTTGGGTTGAATTCGTTTACAACAAAGAATGGCTGCCGCTGGAGAATTTAGATGTGTAGATTCAGCCATCGCGTCTGTTATAGAAGATGTAGACAGCGCATTCATTTTAAAAGAGGAACAGAGAACCGCGATCAAGGCATTTGTCGATCCAATTGAGTGCAGAGGCATTTTCTTTCCTGGTTCGGTTGAAACACGCCCCATAATCACAGCCCAATGGAGCAGTATCAGACTCACATTCTGACTAGAATCTGAGTATGACGACATCAGGCTAAGATCTTATATGTTGTGGGCAAATTTTTTTTTCTGGAGGTCCTTGTTCAGAAACATGGTATTATGGATTCTAGCAAATACCAACAGATAAAAAATCAAAACCTGACAGCCTCTGCTAGAAATCTTATAATGGGCTGTGGTTGGGATCTTCCATCAGGACAACGGTACAAAACCAACATCAAAATCAACACAAAAATAGGTCACTGAGCACAAAATGAAGCTTCTGCCATGACCGTCCCAGTCCCCTAAACTGAACCCTATAGAAAATGAGTGGTGTGAACTGAAGAGAAGAAGCACCAACATGAACTTATGAATCTGAAGGATCTGGAGAGATTCTGTATGGAGGAATGGTCTCTGATCTCTTGTCAGGTGTTCTCCAAACTCACCAGGCATTATAGGAGAAGACTCAGAGCTGTTATCTTGGCAAAAGGAGGTTGCAAAAAGTATTTAATAACAGGGAGCTAATTATTATAGCCAGCGAGTTTTGGAGAAAAGCATTTATTTCATAATGTGATTTCCCCCCCACTTTCAATTCTTTTACTTCAATGAAAGGTTCGATATTTGCGATTTTTTTTAAATAAAAGATCAAAAGGATAAACAATGCAGATTTATTTTTTACTGACATTTTTGATCATATTTAACAGGGGTGCCATTAATTCTGACCACAGCTGTATACATGTACATTCATTTTAGATGCTATACATGTCTCTTTACCTGTGCTATCTGCTGGCTGCCATCTGCATTGCATTGTGAGTGGTCTCTCCATGTGCGGCTGTGGTTGACAGTGAGCCACTGGCCATCTGGACCACATTCCCGTGACACAAACCCATTACGCACTAAAGAGGACAGTAATGCATAACAGGTTTTCTTTTACTCCAAACATGTCTAGTATTGGAGAGTCTTCTATGAACCTTTTTATTAATTGAGTGCATGGGAATGACAACCAACAGCATCATTTATGGTAGTCACTCATTCTTATGTTAGTATGTTCTAAATCTGTCTTATGGTTTTTACCGGTAGAAGATAAAATGAGTTTAAGATAAACATTTTCACATAAACAAATGGTAAGCTTTAAGATCCTCTTTTAAAAATGAATATGGTGAATTGAATGACATTTATGAAGCATATATTTTTATTTTTCTATGCCAACAGGCACTATTTTTGGCAGTTGTACCTTGATCATACCAAGGCAGATACCAGGGGCACGGCACTTTCACCGTTGTGTTGGGAACTCCCTCTGTCCAACAAGCGTACATATCAAACATGCTTTTGCAAAACAAACCTACTTGAGAAAATAGAGTTAATGTGAATATAAAGGTGATCCAGAGAGGTTTAATAACTTTATATACTCCTGCCAGAGCTTATTTCATATATAAAATTTTATATCTAATTGTTGCATTCCATGTTAGAAGTAAAACTAAAAATATCCTTATTGACACTCCTTATGCAAGCAAGATTTATATGGCAAGAAAGATTCATGACAAACATTTGGGGTGGTTAGTGTATGTCTGTGTGTTTACTTCTCTTTATATACATAGTAAATCTCAACTAGCTGTTTTCCAGTGTTGATATAGAAGCGCACATGCACACACACGGATGGGAAGAGCTAATGCCTACCCGAAGGTGTGGGTTGTGAGCTTATCTTCAAGATGCACTCGTTCCGATACCTGTTCCATTCCTGCACTGTGTCCTTCACCGTCTTCCCACTCACACTCTGAAATAACACATGACACCATGAGGTTACAACTTTCTTAAAACTAAATCAAAATTGGCCTTATTTACTGTCTTAATACATGTTTCTGATCTTATTGTACACAACGCTGCATGCAAGAAATGCTGACAGTTACCATGTCTTTTGCCTTGCAATTAATGAACAGAAAAATTAAAAAAAAAAGGTAAAAGATGTACACAAAAGCACTATTAGGCCATGTGTCCACCAAAGACTTTTCAATGAGAGCGCCCCATGTTTGAAAACTACAGCAGCAGCGTGACGAGGTGCTGAGCGTCTATTTCATGCTGAGCGCGTGGCTTTTTTTTCGTCTGGTTGTCGAGAGTTGAAAAATGTTCAACAGTGGGTAAAACGCAGTGCTCATCACTGTCACTGTTTACCAAGCCATTCAATCACAATGGAAGTGCAGGACAAACACCACACTGACCAACTGTCCTCTCTTTCTACGTGGTTCAGCCATATCTTTATCCAAATCAAGGGACAGAGCAAGTACTTTACATTGTGTCAACATTTTTATATTCAGAAACAAACTATCAGCGAAATCAGAAACTAGTAACATTTCCATGGATTTTCCATAGCGCTATCGAGCAGCTGGCTAAAAATACTTTGGTGGACACACAGCCTAAAAGTAATATAAGTAGGCCTATAGTATTGCAGGCCTTATGAGAGCTTTATGGAAAACACACACTCAAACAGAATTAATGTATTTTTAGGAACTATTCCTTCAAAATGAACACAAAGAAATGCATTAACAGCAAGCTATTAGTTTTTGCTGCAAAATGTATGTCGATCAATACCTCAGCTCTGCACAAGACGGACAGAGTGAGGAGGAAGATGGTGGAGGTGTTCTTCATCACTGAGACAGGTACCAGGGGCCAGACATCTTAGAGCTGGGCCCTCGTCCAACCAGAACCAGAGCAGGCCATTCTTTCAGACCTGTACGCCACCAGCTGCGCCCTTCAGGACCGAAACATAGCAGAGAATACTAAGGGAAATCTGACAGCTCAAAATGAATTAATAACCAGATGGCTTCAAGCTCTTGAACTTCCAGTCTCTGTCAGTCTATACTTTATGTGGTCTTATTCAATCCTTTGAAATAAAACTGCGTAACACATGAAAGTACTCCATGTGGCCAAAACCTGCTTTAACTTCAACCTGAATACTGCTCGATTCTTTTCTTCCCCTCACATCTACATACACTGTATGTACTTCAGTCTTTACATAGTCATAACAATTTACAGTCATTATACAGAAAGATAAATCTGCCTATTAAAATGAATGAAATACATTAATACTTTAATAACACTGTTAAATGTAATCTTGTACAAATCTCAATATAAATATGAACATATATGTATTTTTATATATGTTAGTTATTTAAATGTATAGAATTAAATAGTATAGAATTTAATATTAATAATTATCCGTATATTAAACCATCCCTAAACAACTAAAATAATGTCTGCGGAAAAAGAAGAATTAAATACAGAAAGAAAATTTAATTTAATTTTGCAAAAGTAGTGTATTTGAACAGGAATTATTGATGGGCAAACTAGAAAAAATGCATAAAAGATTAAAATAACCATTTATGTTTAGTCAGAATTGGTTGACTGAATAGGTTGTCCTTCAGAAGTCAATATAATCCAGACACTGTTGCTAAATCTCAACTTAAATCGATAATGGTTCAAGGAGGAAGGTCATTTGATCTTCAAAAGAACACTTGACGGAAGTCTCTTCAAGCGTGCCCGAAAGGAGGAAACAGTATGCTTAATCGAGATGAAGTGTAAATAAATGAGTGTCCTGCTAAATCATGTATGATCAGGTAGGTGTTGAATAATTTAGTTGGTTTTGTGCTAAACAGGCTGCAAAGTGCTGAGGGTATAAACACAACACACATGGAGGACTTAGAGAAGGAAATTCCGGAAGAGGAGATTCATGTAATCACTCTAATCACATTGCTAGGGGAATAGAAACAGATTACTCCATCTCTTTCCCTTGAACCTTACCTGTAATTTCAATAATTCAACAAAAAGGGCACAACTTTGACCTTGAGTGCGGTCTGTGAAGTCTTAATGCTTGAGTTGATAATTATGATTATATAATTAGTTTAGTTCATTATATAAACATGGAAAATGGTAATATTTCCTTTATATAAAAAGTTTCCCTAAATAGTGGTACACTGAAGCAGTAGTTTTCAACTGGTTTTGTTATTAAAAAATCTTATCAAATACTGAATTGTATTATTTAACTTTTTTTTTTTTTTTTTACAAAACTATTTGCATGAAATAAACTGAATAGAAAAAATGAATAGAACAGAGAATAATTTATTGCAAATATTTTGACACAATCCATATTTAACCATGTTTGTAACCATTTCTCTAATCATTTGTGTCAAAATACAGTACAACAACAAAACATGCAGGAAGTCTTTTTTAAATTTTAAGTCTTTTTTCTTCGCCCTTTTAAATGCTGTTGCCTATTTTAGTTAATAGGGGTGTCACGATTCTCCAAATCCTCGATTCGATTAAATTTTCGATTCTAAGGTCACGGTTCGATTCGATTCTCGATTTTTACATTTATTTTTTTAAAGCCGAAACCGGCCAATCAGGATGCTCTCTGTCTTACATGCGTTCATGAGGCACATACGCAAGATCTCTCGCTCTCTCCCGTGCGCGAGCTATACGATTTGGAGCACAGTTTTTTCTGTCTCGCATGCGCGATTGCGCGCTCTTGCTCGCTCGCTCACTCTAGATTCCGGGAGATTTTAACTAATTTGCGGGCATCAGGGAGCCGCTATCAATATCAAGGGGGTAATCCATCGACCGGAAGTTGAAGCCGGCCGGGTGCCGCCATCTTGTAGCAGAACTTCACTTGCGTTAGCATTTCCATTGACTCCCATTCATTTTGGCGTCACTTTGACAGCGAATAACTTTACATCTGAGGCATTTAAAGACTCCATTTGTCCATTATTTATTTCTAAAGAAACACGACAATGTATAAAAGGCTCCATTACTTTGTATCTTACGTTATGGCCCCGTAGAAGCCGTTTTTTAAAAACTAGGCTAACGATTGCGTCATAACACGCGACTCTCTGGCGCACACTGGAGAAAATTACCGTATAGACAGAAGTAGAAACTCGCGCGCAATCGGGGGGACGTGGAGGCATAAAGTCAAGGGAGAAGCCCATAGAGAGTTGTAAAGTTGCTCCTACTGCTAGCTCATGGACAGCTAATACTCACGATCTCCGGCTCTGCAAGTTTCGGAAGGGAATGATTCAGATTCCTCTTGGCACAGCCACTAGAATATTTACGTCTGTCAGACAGGTTGCTCACGTCATCAAGCTTAGTTTGAGTCGGTTTGAGTCTGCGCGTCAGGAACGGAAGTGCTCAAAAATCGCTAAAAATGGGCTTCAACTGTCTCAACTGAGTTCCAATGAGATAGCTCTGTCCATTTCTTATACTGTCTATGATCAATATGCGGGAGACTCCAGGAACTTCCGCGAGACTTGGGATGTCTGCAAAGTAAACTGTGGCTTTTTTGAAGCGCGAACGTTGTCAACATAACTCACTGGAAATCCAAAAAACGTACACACCTGCGACTTCAATGAAAGAGGAGGGGGTTCAAGTTCTGTCGATGGGTCTCCTGCATCTGCAGTTGCCATGCTATCTTTTGAATGGCTGTAGCTAAGTTAGAGGAGGTTGACCATAGACTCGCAGCTTTACAACACGCGTGTTTTTTTCCCGCTTGGCACGCTGACCGGACGTGACATGGGGGCATGGCAGCATCGACGATTCCATTTTTTAATTCGATCGATTCGAATTTTTTCTAATTTCGATCGATTTCGATTTAAAATCGAAATCGTGACACCCTTATTAGTTAATAGTTGGATTTTATTTTAACTGCATTTAGCATTGTTTTCCCCTGTTGTCTATGACCAGGACTAGATGTTTGAGTCAACACCTCATTAAAGTATCTTCAGCAGATCTCATCAGCCTTTATTTACGTAATGACTGTGTTGTAGTTCTGGGCACATTTTTAAACAAATAAGTAATTTCTAAGTGGGGTGTGCTCCATGACTATGAGTATGCAATAATTTACTCTTGGAGGCCAGAAACCAATTCTGCAATGTTTATATTGCCTCACCTTAAAGGTTCTTTTGATTAATTCATAACCCAGTATATCCACTTGTGCCAAAGCCAAACATATAAATCACACAAAACACTGGACACAGTCGAACGACTGTAAATTACATCAGTTTGCCAACCCTTTTGGCACATCAACCGACCTTTCACAAGCAACCATTTAAGGATAAGAAAAGATATCTTTAGATATTACATCTCTTAAAGGCAAAACTCGCCTGCCAGTTAAGCTTGGCAATTGTGTTTTATACCAGACATATCAGTTTCCAAAAGACAATCAACAGTTTTTACAGAGCAACACTGCTGAGAGGTACATCATCACCGGGCTGCAGGAAATCAGTTAGAATGTTGTACGTCCTGCTGATTATAACGTACAGGATTACTATTCATCTTATGAAATAACAGCATGAAAACAGTCATTTAGCAGGTAAAAGGTAATTTAGTTAATTTAATTAATTTACTTTTAATACACTCGAGCCCTATTTATTACACGTGAGCAGGAGGGAGAACAGACTCGTTGACTGCAATGTTGGCATCTCCAGCCGCCTGAACTAAATAGGGGACTGGGAGATGTGTAAACGGCTTTTTGGAGGGTGGTCCGGCCACGGCGGGACTTAACCACTCTCTTTTCCTTCTGTTCAGCCAGGCTAGGAATGCTTCCGAGGCTCGGGGTCCAACACAATCTTGGGTCGGGGTCCCCAGCGCTCTGGGAACTGCCGTCGTCTCGTTGAACGAGAGCGGTGACAGACTGAGAGACCGGCGGCGCTGGCTTTGCTGGCTGAGGGAGCGGCACTTTCTTGTGGCGGCCCGAAGCAGAGCTGGAACGTTTAGGGAGGAAGTGGCGCATCGCTTGCGGTGCTTTCTTGCCTCGGTGAAACGCTTCACGAAACCCTTTACCGCTGGGTCGAACAGGCCGGTGGTGGAGATATGGGAGTCCAGGAAGGCGGCCCTGTCTGCATCTTTCATCTCTGTTAAGTTCAACCAGAGATGTCGCTCTAGCACCGTCAAGTTCGCCATGCTTCTACCAATCGCCTGGGCGGTTGATTTAGTGGTGTGCAAAGCCAGGTCTGTGGCACTGTGCAGGTCCCTGAAAGCTTCCGGGTCAGGACCAGACTCGTCCACAGAGCGGAGAAGTTTGACCTGAAAAACCTGGAGAACAGCCATGGTGTGAAGCGCCGAAGCAGCTTTGCCCCTTGGCCTCTGTCCATCATGGCCTCCTAATCATACCCATATACTGATTGGCTTCATCACTCTGTCTCCTCTCCACCAATAAGCTGGTGTGTGGTGAGCGTTCTGGCGCAATATGGCTGCCATGGCATCATCCAGGTGGATGCTGCACATTGGTAGTGGTTGAGGAGATTCACCCTTCTATGTAAAGCGCTTTGAGTACCCAGAAAAGCGCTAAATAAATGTAACAAATTATTCATTTTATTAGTATATCCTTTCTCCACAGCGACAGTCGAGAGCGTTGAGGAGGTGGAGGGTTTGAGACGAGCTGATTGCGGCGCTTTCCACGACTTCGTTAGCTCGTCGTGTACCTCAGGAAAGAAAGGAGCAGGTCTCTGCTGAGGGGCCTGTCGGCGCCCCTGCAGGAACCATTCGTCCAGCCTGCTTCGCGTGGGTTCCTCGGGCGAAGACCACTCGAGCCCGAGGTCTTTGACAGCCTTAGTTAGCACGCAGAGAAGTTCAGAGTTAAGGCTGACTCTCATGCCGCTGGTGCTGGCTTGTGTTGAGGGTGCGTGGTCCGTCATGGAGCCTGTCCACCCCTCGCATTCGGATGCAGCAAGGGAAAGGCTGTCATCCTTCTCTTCTTCCTCATCCGATCCCCCAAAAGAGACGAGACCGGCCGCTCGCTGAGAGGGGCGCTGGTCTGCCTGTGTGAACAGGACCGGCGAGGGGGTTTCTCTGGGTGAGAGCGAGGCACGCGGGGACTGGGCCATCTCAGTGCACTCTGGGCAGCCGCCCTTAGAGTGCAGCTTCAGCGTGGTCGTGGCCCAGACAGGGAGCGCACAAGATGTGAC